CACTAACAAAACACAGAGAGTACGTCAAACAGAGAAAGTCCGAGGGAGCTCGGTGAAAACTCTGTTTCCCCAAGGGACATACTCGCTCCCTCTTGTTCCTCATCTCAATCCCACATAGACAAGGATGCAGCCACGCACCGTGTCTTCCCCCTTTCAGATGACACCCGAATTGCATGACATGTCTTCCATTGCAGACCTGCAAGGGGGTCCCCCGGGGGACATCAAACCAATCTTTCAGTGGGCTCAGAAAAAAAAAATATGAAGTTCAACGTGGAAAAAATTTTAATTATCAGATATGGTAAAACAGGAAATTAAAAACTTTATCCAAATACAAAACAAATTTTGGGCCCAAAAATAGAGCGAAAACACCACGTCAAAGGGGCCTGGGAGTGATTTTATGCGGAGGATCTCACCTTCAGGAAAATAACATTGTATCAATCGCATCTGTAGAAAAATGGGCAGGATGGGTAAAAGAGAACCTTCAAAATAGGGGGGCCAAGCCCCTGTGACCTCTTCAGGCCCCCTTGTTCTACTGGTGGAGTATTGCTGCCAGTAACAGCACCTTTCAAGGCGGGGGAAATTGCTGACCTAGAAAATGTACAGAGAGCCTTCACGGCGCGCATAACGGAGATAAAACACCTCAATTACTGGGAGCGCTTGAGGTTCCTAAACCTGTATTCCCTGGAACGCAGGCGGGAGAGATACATGATTATATACACCTGGAAAATCCTAGAGGGACTAGTACCGAACTTGCACACGAAAATCACTCACTACGAAAGCAAAAGACTTGGCAGACGATGCAACATCCCCCCAATGAAAAGCAGGGGTGTCACTAGCACGTTAAGAGACCATACAATAAGTGTCAGGGGCCCGAGACTGTTCAACTGCCTCCCAGCATACATAAGGGGGATTACCAACAGACCCCTGGCAGTCTTCAAGCTGGCACTGGACAAGCACCTAAAGTCGGTTCCTGGCCAGCCGGGCTGTGGCTCGTACGTTGGTTTGCGTGCAGCCAGCAGCAGCAGCCTGGTTGATCAGGCTCTGATCCACCAGGAGGCCTGGCCACAGACCGGGCCGCGGGGGCGTTGACCCCCGGAACTCTCTCCAGGTAAACTCCATGTAAACACCATCTAGATACCCATCAGTTACGTAACCCAGGGCAGCATGGGTTTAGAGCAGGTCGCTCCTGTCTGTCCTAACTACTGGACCACTACGACAAGGTCCTGGATGCTCTAGAAGACAAACAATGCAGATGTAATAAACAGACTTTGCAAAAGCCTTTGACAAGTGTGACCATGGTGTAATAGCACACAAAATGCGTGATAAAGGAAAAACAGGAAAAGTCGGTAGATTAATCTATAATTTCCTAACAAATAGAACACAAAGAGTAGTAGTAAACAGAGTAAAGTCTGAGGCGGCTACTGTGAAAAGCTCTGTTCCACAAGGCACAGTAATCGCTCCCATCTTGTTCTTCATCCTCATATCAGACATAGACAAGGATATAAGCCACAGCGCCTTGTCTTCCTTTGCAAATGACACCCGAATCTGCATGACAGTGTCCTCCATTGAAGACACCGCAAGACTCCAGGTGGACATCAACCAAATCTTTAAATGGGCCACAGAAAAAATATGAAGTTCAATGACGAGAAATTTCAATTACTCCGATATGGAAAACGTGAGGAAATTAAAACTTCATTGGAGTATAAAACAAATTCCAACCGCACAACAGAGCAAAAAAAACTAATGTCAAAGACCTGCGGGTGATCATAACTAGGGAGGCCAAGCCCATGATGACACTCTTCAGGTCGTTTGTTCTATCTAGGCTGGAATATTGCTACACACTAACGGCACCTTCCAAGGCAGGTGAAATTGCTGACCTAGAAAATGTACAGAGAACTTTCACGGCACACGTAACTGCGATAAACCACCTCACTTATTGGGAACGCTTGAAGTTCCTAGACCTGTACTCCCTAGAACGCAGAAGGGAGAGATACATGATTATATACACCTGGAAAATCCTAGAGGGACTAGTACCAAACTTGCACACGAAAATTACTCCATAAGAAAGCAAAAGACTCGGCAGACGATGCAACATCCCCCCAATGAAAAGCAGGGGTGTCACTACCACGATAAGAGACAAAACAATAAGTGTCAGGGGCCCAAGACTGTTCAACTGCCTCCCAGCATACATAAGGGGGATTACCAACAGACCCCTGGCAGTCTTCAAGCTGGCACTGGACAAGCACCTAAATTCGGTACCTGACCAGCCGGGCTGTGGTTCGTACGTTGGATTGCGTGCAGCCAGCAGTAACAGCCTGGTTGATCAGGCCCTGATCCACCTTGAGGCCTGGTCACAGACCGGGCCGCGGGGGCGTTGACCCCCGGAACTCTCTCCAGGTAAACTCCAGATAATATAAAATGTTACTTAGCAGCAGTACCTGATATTCATATAGGTACACAATTTATAAAACGCTTAATTATTTTCCTAAAATTATATTTGAAGATTACCATGTTGTAAACTCAGATTTCAAGATAAATTACTAATATTATACAAATTATATGTTCGTATCCCTTGCCAGTGTGCGTTGCTATGACTACCATGACGCTAAACTGAACACGCACCTTTCATTCAGGACAATGATCGTGGCTTCGGCTTCGTTTCTGAACACACTTGTCTCTTAATTTAACATTTTAAAACTTCTGATACATTTACACGCATAGATAAAATAACTTAAGTTTCCGCGTTAAAATAATAACCAGAAAACAAATTAATAAACATAATAAATAATTACTTTGAATCCTCACTGCCATATTTTCAATTAGATGAACAGGCAAAAAGTCAACTTTTTAATCCACGAAAATCGCTCATATATCTGTTCAGATTTCGAACAAGGTATAGAAATAAATTGTCATTTAACCCAAAATAGAAAATAATCATTAAGTATCGTTAATCAACACCAAGAAAATCACAAATTATATTAGTCATTATTAACTAACCCCATGAAGCATAGGGCTTTATTTAGAATTGATTGCCAGAATTAAGTGAATGCTTAACTCCCCAAAAAATTCTATGGTTAGATTCCCCTGGATTTATAATATATATTAACTAGGATGATCGTAGCACAATTATTTGAATTTTAACACCATTAACTTACATAACTTATTAAATGAAACAGTGATGTCATTATCTAGAATACTGGTGTCATTAACTAGGATACTGATGTCATTATCCAGAATACTGATGTCATTATCTAGAATAGTGATGTCATTGTCTAGGATACTGGTATCATTATCTAGAATAATGGTGACATTATCTAGGATACTGGTATCATTATCTAGAATATTGGTGTCATTATCTACAATACTGGTGTCATTATCTAGGATAATGGTGATATTATCTAGGATACTGATGATATCTAGAATACTGGTGATATTATCTAGAATATTGGTGATATTATCTAGAATACTGGTGATATTATCTAGAATACTGGTGATATTATCTAGAATACTGGTATCATTATCTAGGATACTGGTGATATTATCTAGGATACTGGTATCATTATCTAGGATACTGGTGATATTATCTAGGATACTGGTGATATTATCTAGGATACTGGTATCATTATCTAGGATACTGGTATCATTATCTAGGATACTGGTATCATTATCTAGGATACTGGTGATATTATCTAGGATACTGGTATCATTATCTAGGATACTGGTGATATTATCTAGGATACTGGTGATATTATCTAGGATACTGGTATCATTATCTAGGATACTGGTGATATTATCTAGGATACTGGTGATATTATCTAGGATACTGGTGTCATTATCTAGGATACTGGTATCATTATCTAGGATACTGGTATCATTATCTAGGATACTGGTGATATTATCTAGGATACTGGTATCATTATCTAGGATACTGGTGATATTATCTAGGATACTGGCATCATTATCTAGGATACTGGTATCATTATCTAGGATACTGGTGATATTATCTAGGATACTGGTATCATTATCTAGGATACTGGTATCATTATCTAGGATACTGGTGATATTATCTAGGATACTGGTATCATTATCTAGGATACTGGTATCATTATCTAGGATACTGGTGATATTATCTAGGATACTGGTATCATTATCTAGGATACTGGTATCATTATCTAGGATACTGGTATCATTATCTAGGATACTGGTATCATTATCTAGGATACTGGTGATATTATCTAATATGGTATTATCTAGGATACTGGTATCATTATCTAGAATACTGGTGATATTATCTAGGATACTGGTATCATTATCTAGATTACTGGTGATATTATCTAGGATACTGGTGATATTATCTAGGATACTGGTGATATTATCTAGAATACTGGTGATATTATCTAGGATACTGGTATCATTATCTAGATACTGGTGATATTATCTAGGATACTGGTATCATTATCTAGGATACTGGTGATTATCTAGATACTAGTGATATTATCTAGGATACTGGTATCATTATCTAGGATACTGGTATCATTATCTAGGATACTGGTGATATTATCTAGGATACTGGTATCATTATCTAGGATACTGGTATCATTATCTAGGATACTGGTGATATTATCTAGGATACTGGTGATATTATCTAGGATACTGGTATCATTATCTAGGATACTGGTATCATTATCTAGGATACTGGTATCATTATCTAGGATACTGGTATCATTGTCTAGGATACTGGTATCATTATCTAGGATACTGGTATCATTATCTAGGATACTGGTATCATTATCTAGGATACTGGTGATATTATCTAGGATACTGGTATCATTATCTAGGATACTGGTGATATTATCTAGGATACTGGTATCATTATCTAGGATACTGGTATCATTATCTAAGATACAGTAGGCCTGGTCTAAGACTAGACATTATTAGATATATAAACAAGGTAAAAGATACATTAGTTTATTTTTGGACTTGATCACAGGTTGGGCGTGATGGACCAGGGGGGCGTGAGGATGATTGGCTTGCGTGGGCGGCCCAGGACGGCGCCCAGGCTTGGAGACACGCCCACGGACGCCCTCGGTGTGAATGGTGCCAGACTGCTGGGCAGGAGCACACCCACGCCCGCCACGGTGAGTGGGCGGTGTGTGTCTGTGCTCTAATTTGTGTGTCTGTTTGACTGGTTTGTGTTTGGATGATGTGTGTGTGTCTGGGTATGCACCCCATACCCATCCTGTGGGTGGTAATCAAAAGATTACAGAGGCACACAATGCGTCCAGGGACAAGGCCGCAAAGTTTTAATAGCTAAGAAAGTCACAGAGGTAATGAACTATTTACATGTTTATATCTGGTTACAGTCGTAGCGAGTTATTATGCAGATATGAATTAAGTCGCAATGTGGTTTTGAATTATTTATATTAACTTATATTTTGGCAAGGTATGCTTGAATTTAAACAAGTTTAAGTCGTTATAAGATATTTACAATAGGCAAAGTCAGGGTATTTTTCCAGAATGGTTGGTAATATGTCGCTATGGATAAAATACTTGAACATTTCTTGAAGATGTGTGAGTTGTCTCTGAATTCGTCAGTTGTATCCCATTACAACACATAATGAGGCAAGGTGTGACGATAGTCCATCTGGCAAGGTTTACATTTGGTTATGTCTACATCAGGCTAGTTAACAGCTCAAGACTGTAATCTACGCTCTTCTTGAAGGCATATATACCTTTGCTAATTCATCTTTTCTATCATGAATATGAAGGCCAATGTGAGGTAGAATCCACAGAATGTGCCTCTGACTCCACTGTCTACAATCCTACCACACCCGTGTCTAGCATCTGACACAAGTTTCTCCACAACTGACACTCAAGGAGTTTAAATTATTTATGAATGATAAAAATTAATTATAATTAAGGTGTCAACCTTAGATGGACACATTTGTGCATAAAGAGAATAGCAAACAGTCCAGTTTTTGATGCTTGTTCCAGTGTCTGTATGAGAGCCAACACTCTGCATAACAGCAATGGCACTACCAGCTACACTAATGGACTGGTGAGCAGAACCATCAACATACATAATTTGTGGAAGTGTGCCGTGTGATGTGTATGTGTTTGGGTATGTTGTAATGTTCGTACATTTTTGGGTACTTTTGATGTGTGATAAGTATGTGAGAGTGGTGCTATACCATAATAAACGGAGACACAGCCATCAGTGCCTCACACTGAAGGCAGTGTGCACACAGGTGATTGTGGTGGGTCGAGACAGTGTGAGGCGTCTGAGGTGTAGGAGCGCAGCGGTACCTATCAGCAGCAGCAGCAGCAGCGGGACACAGAAGATGCAGCCTCCTCCTTCATCTCTACCAGCAGTGCTCCTCTCTCCTGCCCAACTGAAGACCATCAAAGAAGCTGCTCAGCAGGTGATACAAGTTGTATTTAGAAAAAATACCATTTTACACACACTAAAGAAAAACGGTATTACTACTTTTACGTTAGTGCTGAAGACTTTTTTTTTTTTTCACTGGGGTTCTTATCATTTCTCTTACTTAGACACATTTAAACTTAGCCGAATTTGCAAGACATGAACTACAGTTTCTGACTACATTATCTTAAATTTGAAAGGTTTGGAATCCCAACATCATGACACTAGCGTAAGTGAGTTTATATTTAGGTTTGCATACAAAAATAATTCTGTTTTGCAGTGCTTTTGAGAGCACATGGCTGTTATGATCACCTAAAAAGTGCGTTGTGTAGATTTTATCTAGGATAACACTAGTAAAGTCAAATGTGACCCATTTCCATTAGCGTCCCTGGTGACAACGGTGCGGCTCAAAAAAACTTTTATACAGAAATGACATTTGTGATGAATGGTTTGAAAAACCGACAAGTTGAAGATTGAGACACTTATGCAACATATGGGAATCTTTATTCAGGAAACGTTTCGCCACACAGTGGCTTCATCAGTCCAATACAAAGTAGAAGATTGAGACACTTATGCAGCATATGGAAATCTTTATTCAGGAAACGTTTCGCCACACAGTGGCTTCATCAGTCCAATACAAAGAGGAAGGCGTAAGGAGAGGAGGAGAATGAGGTAATCAGTCCCTCAACCTGGAGTCGATGTGTTCAGTCCATCAATCTTGTAGAATGTACAGCATAGGGCCGTAGACGTGGCTTATATACTGTAGTGAGGTGACGTGAAGCAGATGGAGGCGGGGTCATAGTGGTACCATCCACTAGTCGAAGTAGGTCTTCGTCCAAAGGTTGAACAAGTGTTGAAGAATTCTTTGTAACAAGATCCCATGATGCTGCAGTGTCCGACAGTTGTGATGAATGGTTTGAAAAACCGACAAGTTGAAGATTGAGACACTTATGCAGCATATGGAAATCTTTATTCAGGAAACGTTTCGCCACACAGTGGCTTCATCAGTCCAATACAAAGAGGAAGGCGTAAGGAGAGGAGGAGAATGAGGTAATCAGTCCCTCAACCTGGAGTCGATGTGTTCAGTCCATCAATCTTGTAGAATGTACAGCATAGGGCCGTAGACGTGGCTTATATACTGTAGTGAGGTGACGTGAAGCAGATGGAGGCGGGGTCATAGTGGTACCATCCACTAGTCGAAGTAGGTCTTCGTCCAAAGGTTGAACAAGTGTTGAAGAATTCTTTGTAACAAGATCTACTTCGACTAGTGGATGGTACCACTATGACCCCGCCTCCATCTGCTTCACGTCACCTCACTACAGTATATAAGCCACGTCTACGGCCCTATGCTGTACATTCTACAAGATTGATGGACTGAACACATCGACTCCAGGTTGAGGGACTGATTACCTCATTCTCCTCCTCTCCTTACGCCTTCCTCTTTGTATTGGACTGATGAAGCCACTGTGTGGCGAAACGTTTCCTGAATAAAGATTTCCATATGCTGCATAAGTGTCTCAATCTTCAACTTGTCGGTTTTTCAAACCATTCATCACAATACAAAGTAGAAAGGCGTAAGGAGAGGAGGAGTTTGAGGTAATCAGTCCCTCAGCCTGGAGTCGATGTGTTCAGTCCATCAATCTTGTAGAATGTACAGCATAGGGCCGTAGACGTGGCTTATATACTGTAGTGAGGTGAGGCGAAGCAGGAGGAGGTGAGGTCATAGTGGTACCATCCACTAGTCGAAGTAGGTCTTCGTCCAAAGGTAGGACAAGTGTTGAAGAATTCTTTGTAACAAGATCCCATGATGCTGCAGTGTCTGACAGTTGTGATGAATGGTTTGAAAAACCATTCATCACAACTGTCAGATTCTTCAACACTTGAATTCTTCAACACTTGTTCAACCTTTGGACGAAGACCTACTTCGACTAGTGGATGGTACCACTATGACCCCACCTCCTCCTGCTTCGCCTCACCTCACTACAGTATATAAGCCACGTCTACGGCCCTATGCTGTACATTCTACAAGATTGATGGACTGAACACATCGACTCCAGGCTGAGGGACTGATTACCTCAAACTCCTCCTCTCCTTACGCCTTTCTACTTTATTGTATACTATATTGTTTCAGACATCGGAACAATGCTCTTCTCCAGACTGAGGGACTGACCACCTCAAAACTTTAAGGGTGATGGACTGATTACATCGTCTTCAAGTATCTTCTGCTTCTATCAACTTTTCTGTACTCGACTGAAGAAGCCTACTGTGTAGGCGAAACGTTTCGAAATAAAGATACCTAACTGTTGCATATGTGTCTTACCTAACAATCTGTCGGTATTTTATACCATTTTAATGTTCTTTCTACTTTGTATTGGACTGATGAAGCCACTGTGTGGCGAAACGTTTCCTGAATAAAGATTCCCATATGTTGCATAAGTGTCTCAATCTTCAGAAATGACATTGTAGAATTAGCCGAGAGGAATTGTGGTGTTTATCATTCCGCAAGTTTTTTTTTTCATCAGTTCGCATCTGTTATGTGTGTGATACTATATGCAATTCTTTCACAGTTAATTGAACAGGTTAATAGCTCTTAACTTTAATCATTCTCTCAGGTGAGCGCGGAGACGCGCCTGAAGAAGATAGAAGCAGCGCAGGAGGCGACGAGGAAAGCTCTTCAGGAGAAGGAGGAGAGGAGGAGACACCACGAGATGCTGGAGGCCAGACATCGTAGACGGAGACAACAGGAGGAGCTGAAGAGTTTGGAGACCTGGCCTCTAGGAGGTCACCGACAGGAGAAGGTTAGCAGTGGAGGTTTGTGGAGTTGTAGGAAGGTGGTTGTGATTGTAGGGTTAGAAGACGATGGTGGTTGTGGCTGTATGGTTAGAAGTTAGTTGTGGTTGTAGGGCTAGATGATGGTGGTGGTTGCGGTTGTAGTGTTACAAGATGGTGGTGGTTGTGGCGGTGGTGGTGGGCTATAATCAACCAGTCATTTCACCCTTCTACCACTCACCTCCTTCAGGACACAAAAATGGAGGCGGAGCGTCGAGAGAGGGAGGAACTAGAGAGGGAGGAGGAGGTGAAGGAGCTGAGGAAGATGGTTCTAGCGGCCAAGTGTCACGCTATTAGAGAGGCGCAGATTTTGGAGAAGCAACACATCAGGTGGGCTGACACACCAGACCGACACTGACCAACGAAACACACCTGACGGCTGACATTGACCACCGAAACACAATTGACCGCTGACACTGACCAGTGAAATACAGCTGACGACTGTCTCTGACCAGGAAGATACACGCTGACATATATTGTATAAAAATCCAAAATGATATTTCATTGATATTCCTGAAGGCAGAGGTTATCCGGCTGATGTGAGCCATTGGCGATATCCTCGGCACTATGCTCACCCTTAGGTCTTTTCCTTTGAACCCGTTCGTGTGTGTGTGAGAGTGATTGAGTGTGTGTGTGTGTGTGTGTGTGTGTGTGTGTGTGTGTGTGTGTGTGTGTGTGTTTATGCATCCCTTTTGTCTCTACCTCTTTTTCCTCCTCTCTGTAGACATTTGGAGAAGGAAGAGGAGGAGAGGCAGGCTGCCATGATGGAGGAGACGCGGGTGAGAGGATTGAAGGAACAAGAGGAGAGAGAAAGAGCCAGGCAAGAGGCCAACATGCTGGCAGCTCTGGCACTCACCAGACAGATACAACAAGGAGAGGTCGTCAAACAACAAATGTTCAGAGAGAAGAAGAAGGTAAGAGACTAAGAGAGGGAGAGGGAGAGAGGCAGATACAGAGAGGGGGGAGGAAGATACACAAATATGGAGAGGGAAAGAAAAATATAGAAAGGGAGAGGCAGAGAGAGGGGAAAGAGAGACAATGAGAGGGAAACAGATATGAAGAGAGAGATGGAGAGTGAACCCGACACGTTTCCTTACTTATATTAGTGGTGGCTCAGGCATTAGGTTCAATCCAAAAGGGGATCAAAAGCCCCTTATCAGCATCAAGGCACTGCCCCTCTTGAAGGGTAAAGGAGTTAGAATTTGCTTCTCTTTCATTATAGAAAAGAGTTAGACACCTTACACTATACTCAAACCTGTCTTGAAAAGGCTTCTTACATCCCAGGAAGCTGACAGCGTCGCTAGAGAAACTCGTAAATACATTGACGAGAAGGAAGCGGAGAAGAGGAAGAAGAAGGAGAAAGTAATGAAGGAGAAGCAAGAGGCGAGAAGAGTGAGGGAAGAATCGGAGGTGAGGAAAGCGGAGCTGCTGAAGACTGAGAAGCTGAGGGACGTTAAGGTGAGCTGGAAGCTTTCAGGAGCTCTCTTTGTTTGGCTCACATCCGGATCCTGAATGGTTGAGATCCTGATCTCTCATTCAAGATCCTGAATAGTTAAGACCCAGATCAGAGATTCCGGATACTTATTAGCTCCTGAGTGTTTGATAGGCTCCATTTGATTACTGCTGAACGTAGATGTATATTATCATTATGACAAGAGACAACGAGGAATGGGTGATCCCCGACACTTAACGCTCACTTCGTCAAACTGTACCTGTCCGGTTTGGAGGCATAAATTGTATTTACACAGTAAGCTCTCTGATATAGCTCCCTTTATATTTCGCGCGATTTTCTTTATTGTAAATACGATTGATATCCAAATCTGGAAAGGCCTTCATGGCACTCACTATTAAATTTTATTTTTTCAATCACATACAAAAAAAAAAATCACATTGTATACGTGTGGAAAAGCACTCTTTCGTGGTGGACACTGAACAAGGGCTACTTACTGCAACTTAAAAAGTCAAGACAGTCTTCAATTGGAGCTTTATGAGAAGCTGGACTTCAAGGGCAACGTCTTTGCCTCAACAAACGGAGGATCGAGCCTTCACAACTTGCGTTCCATGACCTAAGTGGGTTTAGTGCTTCACTTAAACATAATACTCTTTCAATGAAGACTTCTCACTGTTTCACTTTGTCCTTGCAGTAGAACTCTGATTCTCACGTGACCTTCTCTCCACCAATAGTAAAACTGAATGTCTAGTTTGGGCCATACTCTAATGTACCCTTCCAATTATTATTATATTCTCCCTTGGGTAATCAGGTTCGATCCAAGGAACGGGAGAGTAACTACAATTCCTTGAATCAAGAGGTTAAGGGGATCCATTTCCAAGTTGTTGATTAGCTGTGACCTTCCCATCCTTCCGCCTTTCCTTTATCAAACCAATGTTCCTCGCAACATTTTGTTTCTGCAGATGATGGCTGAGGTAAAGGTGCAGCAGCAGGAGCAGCAGGCGAGGCAGGACGAGGCAGCGGCCATCAAGAGAGCCCAGGATGACTTACAGCTCTTGTGGCTCAAGGATGAAGAGTGTAAACTGGCTGAGCACCGCCGCAGGGAGGAGCTCAAGTGTCTTCGAGAGCTGGAGAAGGTGCTTGAGGTGGAGGGGGAAGTACAGGGGTGATACCAAGGTACCCATGGGAAGGGGCCTGAAGCATCCCCCAAAATTCCGTTATCCTCTAAAGCTCCCAAATAATAATAACCTTAATAATAATTCCTCAAGATGAGGGGCTCTAAGCCCCCTCTTCCGACCATATTGCTACCCCTAATCTCTTCCTATATAATACTTCTGGGGGCCCCCTGAGGGTGTCCTACAGTATGCTGAAAAAGGAGAGTTTGAGGGAAAGAAAAAGAGAAGGGTGGAACAAAAGAAGTGTAAAGGGAGGCATGCAGCACCTAGCGGAACGGAGATATACATACCTGGAGTTTACCTGGAGAGGGTTTTGGGGGTCAACTCCCCCACGGCTCGGTCTGAGACCAGGCCTCATGGCGGATCAGGGTCTAATCAACCAGGCTGTTACTACTGGCCGCACGCAAGCTGACGTACAAACCACAGCCCGGTTGGTCAGGTGCTGACTTTAGGTGCCTGTCCAGTGCCTTCTTAAAAACAACCAGGGGTCTATTGGTAATCCCCCTTATGTAGGCTGGGAGGTAGTTGAACAGTCTTGGACCCCAGACACTTATTGTATTCTCTCTCAATGTACTCGTTGTGCCCCTGCTTTTCATTGGGGGAATGTTGCATTTCCTGTTGAGTCTTTTGCTTTCATAGGGAGTGATTTTCATGTGCAGGTTTGGTACCAATCCCTCCAGGACCTTCCAAGTGTATATTATCATGTATCTCTCTTGCCTGCATTCCAGGGAATACAGATCAAGGACCTTCAACCATTCCCAGTAATTGTTAAGGGATAAATGACAAAAAAAAAGGAAAATAAGAAAAGGTGGGGAATGATGGGAAGAACGAGGGAAGAGAAAAAGAGGGCGAAAGTAGGGTTATAGGGAGGAGCTGCAGCAATTTGAAAAGTTAGATTCAGGGCATCAAGGGTCTGATATTGAAGGGAGGGAAGAATAGAATGCTGATGAATGAGAGTAAAGAAAATGGGGCAAATGGCTCCTGAAGAGTGAAGATAATGGGGCAAATGGCTCCTGAAAATAAGAGAATGAGGCATTTTGAATATTATTGAGAAATGAAGTGCTGAAGGAAGGTATGAGACGTGGAGGTGGACACGATCTTAGAGTTGCCGAGGAAGGTAGCACCACCTTCACAATGAAACTCTCTTTGCACTTTCTCACTTGCCCTTTTTTTCAGCTTGAACGAGAATGGAGGAAGAAAGAACTCATGGAGGCACAAGTCAAAGCTGAACAGGAAGCAGTGATAACCCGGGAGCGGCGACAACAGGTAGATTTTATGTAAATGATTTAGAAAACCCTCAATATTAAAACCCTCAAGCAATATTTGAGATTCTCTCCACAATAAAGATTCCCAAATGTTACAAGTGTCTCATTCTTCAGGTGGAAGAGCGGCAGAAGGCACGGATGGCAGCGGCGATGAAGCAGAAGGAGGAACTACTACGAGTGACGGATCACTGGATGATCACTGAGCAGAGGGAAAGATCAGAACATCAGAAACTCAAAAAGGTTGGTAGATGCATTAATTTTATAAATATTTTTATTATGCAAAAGTCTTAATTTTTATTTATTTTAATCAGAGCGAACATTCAAACTCGAGGGTGCCATGTAGAACCTGGAGAATGAGAGGCATTTAGGTTCAGTTCAAGGAAGGAATTAATCACTTTTTTCTTCTGTAGGCTAAGGAAGATTATGAGTCAAGGATCCGAGCCCAGATAGAGGATCAGAAGGCAAGACGAGCTAAGGAGGCAGAAGGACTGCAACAGGAAAAGGAGGAAGCAGCTCTGCAGCTTAAACTGAGGCAAGCAGCCCTAACCAGACTCAAGATTGACACCATGCAGGAGCTGAGGTAAACAGTCATTGGCTGCAGGCATGGTAGGTTAAGCTGAAACTGAAAAAGTAGGTTGTAGAAATTTGAAAGTGACGACTGCTCAGCTTCCAACTAGCCTTCAATTTTATTCCAAGTCCTGTCCTGGGAAGGCATTCTCTTAATTGATGATGTTATGCACTCTTCTTCATTTCAAACCTGTTTAGGCCATTAAAGTTAAAGTTGGTTAAATAGTGAAGGAGGGAACAGTCCCTAGCAGAGCTGGATTAAGATTTTGTAGGCACTTGGACTACAGGTATTGTGAGGGCCCCCAGTGATACTGTCAAAAGGAAAAAATGCTAAAGAAACATTAAATTTATTTTTACAAGGCTAACCACAAGTAAAATTCAAACATTTGCTTTGAGTTATTTCTTGGAAACAAATTGTGAACACTTTCCATTTAATCTCCGGAGGCCCTCCAGCTGGCGGAGGCCCCAGGGCTGCAGTTGCTAAAGCCCATGTCTTAATCTGGCCCTGGTCCCTGGACCCATTATGTGCCTTTGTAATCTTGTAGACTACTACCCACAGGATGGGTATGCAGTGAATGACAACCGTTGAATCAGATCATTATGCTTTGGAGAATTACAGCATTTAAATAGAGTACTGTATTAGTATTATTATATTCATGGTGATGCTCAAAATTTGGGGAAGGAAGGGGGGGGTCACAGTACCAGGGAAAATGGGAGGTAATCAGTATTGATCTGTGGAAGAGGAGGGTAGCTCCAATTCCTTGGATCAATAGACCCTCACTGGCATCAAGGCATCTTCCTTCAGAAAAAAAAAATCATGGTTAAATAGTCTACCACCTGGTAATAAATTTCACATTTACTTTCAGAAAAATGGCACTTCCAGAGCAGCTGGTTCAGGATCTTGAGAAGAAACTCCATTTAAGAAAGAAAAGAAAATAAGACGAAAAAAAATTATACAACCTTTGTGATGGTAGTTCAACTCTCATCATAAGGCATCAGAACCTGATGCCAAGGGATCAATTCCTGGTTGATTATTATTATAATCAAAAAGAAGCGCTAAGCCACAAGGACTATACAGCGCTGCAGGGCAGGAAGGAAGCGAGGGCATCAGGTGGCATAAGGGAGATGGATGAGTAATAGGTTATGGATAACAGCGGGGTAGTGGATGGTGAAAGGGTAAAGGGCATCAAGAGACTGAACTAGAAAGGGCTGAGGGGAGTGCGAAAAGTATCATCAGAGTTTGTGGAGTAAATCAGTCGTTGTCAAGAAGTCAATGAGAGAGTCAGGATTAAAGGATGGTCCATCAGCAAGAAGGGAAGGTAAAGAGAGAGTAGTAGAACGAAGACGACGTTGGAGTAATTCCTGGTTGAGGATCACTGTTTTTCTATCAGTATTGTTGATCATAACATCAGTATCAGTTTAACTTCAGACTATATTAAAAATTTCCTAAAGGGAAGAAAAAATGCAGTACAGTAGTACACATTATTATTCATGTATCTGCCTTATTGAATCTTGCTTAGTACTGATAACTCGTCCTGGTTAATTCATATGCAATATACGTATTGATTAAAATGCTTTCTTTTTCCTTTCTTCAAATTTATTGATAAAGCAACTTATAATAGGAAATAAATTCATCATTAAAATGGTATAAAATACCAACAGGTTGTTAGGTAAGACACATATGCAACAGTTAGGTATCTTTATTACGAAACGTTTCGCCTACACAGTAGGCTTCTTCAGTCGAGTACAGAAAAGTTGATAGAAGCAGAAGAGACTTGAAGACGATGTAATCAGTCCATCACCCTTAAAGTTTTGAGGTGGTCAGTCCCTCAGTCTGGAGAAGAGCATTGTTCCGAAGTCTGAAACAATATTGTTTCAAGTCTCTTCTGCTTCTATCAACTTTTCTGTACTCGACTGAAGAAGCCTACTGTGTAGGCGAAACGTTTCGTAATAAAGATACCTAACTGTTGCATATGTGTCTTACCTAACAAATAAATTCATATTGAAACTACTCAAAAAGTAAGCTCCACTTTGCACAGAATACTGCACAATACTTATAAAATAAAAATTATGGAAAATAATGCAAAAAAATTTAATTTACTAAAGAACATATACACGTACATTGGTTTATCACAGTAATATTCTTTTTAAATTTTCAAAGAGTAGCTTAATCAAAATTATTCAACAGAAGGCACTCAAGCTCACAACAGTGCATATTTTCACTTACAGGCTCAAATTTCATTAACATTATTATTATTAATTGCTCATTGATATTATTTTTCCATTGAAATTCTTTATTACATTAACCCTTAAACTGTCCAAATGTAGATTTACATTTTTTCAACATTTGAAACTATGTAAAAAAAGTAGATCTTCTTTTCCTTTTTTACATTTCAAAAAGTGTAAAGAAAACTTTGATCTACTTTTTTTTTTGTTATATTTGAAAAGATGTAAAAAAAACATAGATCTACTTTTGGAGCACTACGCATGTGAACGTAGATCTGCTTGGACAGTTTAAGGGTTAAAATAGAGTTTTCTAATTGTTTAGACCTTAATACAGTACTCAGTATTCATTTTTTATTATTATGTTTCTTAATACAATAGATAGATACATGTATGTATTGTAAATTAGGGTAAATTGGTATGTACATTTAAAATTTTAAAAAATTTGCAATTGGTGAAGTGTTAAACTTGTAAGATCCTGCAGTGCCTGAGGAATGAGAGGGGTGGTGGGTAATCTGATTTGATCCAAGTAAGGGAAGAGGTAGCTCTAATTCCTTAGATCAGTTGCTCTTCACCATGATATTAAAAACATTAAAAAGACAGGCCAGTCTGTGACAGTAACCAAAACAATACACAAAACAAAATTTCTTTTATAGCAACAATTATTTTTTGTATATACATTTTAAACAATTTTCTTAAAAGAAATTCTACTATTCATATGCTGCAAGACGTGCTTAAAGGTGAAAAAAAAAAAATATGATTTATAAATGATAACCAATAATCTTGTAAAACTTTATTGCCAAGAGTTGTGGATACATACATGAACAAGACACACATAAGGAATAACAATAAATATCATAAGAATCACTTGTACAACAACAACATTTAATGCTGAACATCAACATTTTCGGCATCTCTTATGAATAAAGAACTTCTAAAACAATTAACATTGTGTATAACAGAACAGCATTCACATGTACAGAGACAATAATGAAATACTATATAATAAATTTTATATAGATGTTAGATATAAACAGGTACAATTTCAAGCGTTTACAGAGACAGTATATGAACAAGATACACTTCTGGTACTAAATCAGTCACAGAAGAACGTTCTCTCAGTAGGAATGAAAGTTCATACCTAACAATAATAAAACTCTAACCACCAACATTAAGCCAATTTTATATTTCATATTCTTTAATGTATCATAAAGCAGTTAGGAAAAAATACTGATAAATAGTAAGGATCTGAAATAAAAAAAATATTTTCGCTCAAACCCATAAGCAGTTATTATAGCATGCTAATGTTTTGGGGGTTAATTAATGTAGTATAGCAACATTCAGGCTGGCATTCTACAAAAGCCCAAACTTTTTTACATACAACCTGCCATATGTGGGAAATATACCATCTCAACTCATTACGTGACAACAACACTATAGCACATAGATAGGTTGACTTGTAAATTACCTTATTCTGGCTCTTAAATGCTTGCCTTCTTGAGAGACCTAATTCATAAAAAAAAATATATTTCACAACTGTGAATTATAAGCATAATACTGCAGTGCAGGGTGACCGAAAGAAGAATACACATTCACCAATATTCACTCAATCTCCATCTTTCCAGAAATGGGCTGACATCACAATCGTTAATACGATATATTCTATTAAAAATCACAAATCAATCATTCATAACAGACATAAATGTGTTTTTAAGATATCCAACATTTCAGCACATATATCTTGAGGTCTAACTAAAATTATTTTTCTTGAGGATGGACCTATGTGGCTATTAAGATTTGTTAGGTCTACAAACAATAAGGATACATAAATGCATAAATCCATTACTTTTTAAATGGAAAGGCAACGTAAAGCAGCACAATGTAAACACGTACAAATGCCTAATTTTGACTGGCACATAACTGCATTTTTTTTTTTTACAGAACAACTTTTAAATAACCTTAAACTGCCCTACTGCATAACTCAAAATCTAAGGTAATTGTCACATAAAATTTTACAGAAACATAGTACAGTATTCATATCCATGATATTTCACAAGGTAAACTTTTTATTATGTAGGGCAAAATACCGTGGTACCTCGAGTTACGAACTTAATTCATTCTAGAAGACTGTTCGAGTGCCGATACTGAACGAATTTGTTCCCATAAGGAATAATGTAAATTAGATTAGTCCATTTCAGATCCCCCAAAAATACACTTACAAAAGCACTTACAAAAATACACTTACATAATTGTTCGAGTTGGGAGCTGTTCGAAACTCGAGGTACCACTGTACTTGACAACTTTATTGTCTTTAAAGTTATACAAAGAACTACATCCGAGTTAGGTGCATCCTCCTTCAAACTGCTGCACAAAAAATATCCAAAACTCAAGTATCTGGAAAAAATCACATACGCTACTTAGAAGCTACCAATATTTAGAAGCAACCATCTTCCTTTTGGTTGTTATTTGATATCTAAAAAATCTTCAGAAAACATTACCAATAATAAACAATGCCTCAATAAATTACACCATTCCTTTATATCACATCTGCAAAATATTATGATATAGTTTATTTCCTAAGATGCATTAATTATGATGTTTAAGATATACAGTACATTTTTTAACACTGGCCATTTTCTACCAGGATTGGGTGATGCAAAAAAAAAAAAGTCATTACTCATTCCCTAGATATCTTTTCATAACCCACTGAACAACTATATCCCCACTTCTTTTAAGGTGCAAGCACGGTACATCCCACTTCCAAATCTAATTTTCTAAGCCCCTTCATAGATACTAACATGCTTATATATTTGCCACCATTTGTTGGAGGGGTTCATAATAGAGTCTAGGTAGCAAAGAATACCAATGTATGGATTGTTATAGGGATGTACTGTAATGATAAGATGGAACCTAGTCTATCCATGTCTGCCTGGCATGTAGCTCGGGTTGTAACTTAAGGTGGGTCTCCAATCTAGGTGCATGGTTCAAAGGAAAGTCACATGACACTAGCTTGGCATACAAGGGATGATGTATATAAAGGCACTGGCATATATACTACACAAGTATTGCACCACTGACACATGTAACACATTCCATACATGCCTGTTGGATGCTCAAGACCCTGCCTTTTAAAACTCTCTTCCAACTTTTCCTGAGACATCTAAACTTTCTTCAGTTTATCCCAGATTTATACACCTTAATCAACTAAGCTTGCTCCAGCCTTTTCTAAATGATGCAACCATCTCAACAGTCAATCTACCATTTTCAATCCCAAACTAAATGAAGCAAAACTGCCCTAAATATTAAGTGTTTAACAATCACTTATAAAATTTGAATTTAGTGCACTATATGTTAGTACACTATAAGCAGTTAATAATAAACAACAGTGGAGAGCAACAAAAATTATAGAACAAGTTACACAATACATGTATTTAAAGTAGAAATTTATAATGAGGACTCAAACTTTATTACAGCAAACTAAAAACACCTTTCTGAGTATTGACATATTGCCAATAAGAGTTGACATTTGTTTTAGAACTAAAAGCCTATACTTACTCAAAAAGTTAATCTGAGTGGCAACCCTGACTGGACCCTAAAGTTTTTCTTCGCAAGTACAGTATCTCAAAATTCAATGAGGTTCTGATGAATCTAATTCACATTACGATTACTTGGGCCTGCAATAAATGCATCCCAGACTTACACTTCATCTCTAAAATTCTTCAAGATGTATATTGAAAGAAACAATGAGGTATAATAATACTGAGAGAGTTTTAACAATAAGGGTTCAATAAGATAAACTAAGCTTTTTAAACGACCAACAATATAAGAGACTCCACTAATTGTGTTTTAATATGTAGTCAAATTTGTTGTCCTAATTTAACTAATTGGTTACAGATTCAACTAATAAGTGCTTTTGAAGAAGGAACTACTGAGAAGTTGGTCATGAAAAGTCCAGCAACAGCATCCACATTCCATCCATTATACTGGCTCGTTTACCTTCCTCAAAAAGACAGACTGATCAATGATATCGTTTATGGTTGTAAATGGTAAGATGATTCCAACAAGCTGTGGATACAGATACTTTTGGACAGTTCAGGACCTTTGCTAAAGGAAACTTTTTGTTACAAATGGTTTCATCATTAGGAGTTATGAAGCCATTCAGTAGCAAAATGTCATTTCATAAATGTCACAAACAGTACATTAAGTGTCCTTATACTCAAATCCTTTATAGTAGGTGCCAGATGCTGTTGAACTCAGTGTAGCTTCCAAAGCAACTATTCACTGAATTAGAAAAAATTTTGACTACAGTTGCACAATAAATTAAATATTATATAACAGATTTAGAGAGAATATTGCCTTGCCTTCAAATAAAACAAACATCAATAAGACACATTTACCATACTACTTTACTAATGAAATTTTAATTCTATACAAAGAGAAACATATGAGTAACCACATAATATTAAATTATTAATGATGTCCTCAGCAAGGGTGTGGAATCTCTTAAGTAATGCAACTCTGAACACTTATAATAGAGGCACAAACAATACTATTTCTTGGTGGTAATGACATAAATAATTCATGGATACCCAGAACAGTTGTTGGCAAAACCTAGCTCCTCTGTGCACAATGAACATTTTTTGATAGTTTCTTCGAGACTATACAGAATACTGTTTTATCCACTTCAAAAAAAAAAAAAAAAAAAAAAAACTACAGATATTTGCTTATGGTCTTGAGTACTGGCAAGAGACCAAATTTTAAAATTTAAACATGTAAATTTTGAAAAAAAGTTCTTGTATTTATATGTTTAGAACGAGGACTACATAAGGACACCCGGAATTGCACTGACACATTTAAGTCCAATGTGTAAAGTTTTCAGCACTCATTAACAAAGTCTCTAAGACTTAAGCCTAAAAAAAATAGAATTCCAATATTTTTGTACATACTTGGAGAAGCAATAATAATAATGTATGCATAACAGTAGCAAACAAACTAAACTCTACAATTAATAGACAACAAAATAAACAACTCCAAGCAAGTACTAATATGCTTTGATTTGAAACCAGTGCCAAACACATTTAGCATAAATGAACACTAAAACCTTTAACAGTTAGCAGTCTTTTTTTGCTAGAGAAAACCCAACAAAAAATATAACATTTAACAATCATTTTATTCTACTGATTACCATAATCAGAAGCTTTGTAAATATTGAGCTGGATCATAACGCAGGTGTAATCCTGAACTGTTATCAAGACTGATGGACTAATCACATTCACTCCAGGCTGAGGGACTGATTACCTAAAACTCCTGATCTTCAACCATTATTCTCTGTACTGGACTGAGGCAGCCACTGGTTGGCGAAAACATTTCCACAATAAAGAGACCCAAGTGCTGCACAAGTGTCTCAGTCATCAACTTGTTGGTTCTCTGAACCATTTATCGACAATCCTAATCTCATTCCTGTAACTTCTTTGTCATAAGATCTGCATGAAATTATGAATATATTTTCCTCTCCTTATTCTCACAGCTAATTTCATACACTTTTAAAAGACTACATAGTGTAATAATTTCTAAACATAATATGGAAACACTGCAATGTGTCAAAAGTTTTTTATAGACTATATCATTTCAATAAAACTAACATATATCTTTTATAATCCTGTCTTTATCAGAGCAAAATCTGTGATAAGATCTGAGCAAAATACATAACCGATGTAAGAGACCATAGCACAATATATTTTAATTTGAACAAACATTTGCAGGCTGGATAATATAGCGTTGATTTAATATAATACCTTTATATATGCTTCTTGTAGTCTGGTCCTGACTTCCTTTGTAGCAAGTACAGGCAATCACTCTCCAAAAATCTAAGAAAAATAAATAGCATAAGCCAGGGATTCATCATTTTTTTTTTTAAAAAACCAGTTCAGCAATATCATGAACAAAAATGATCTGCATATAACATTTTTTTTTAGTATAAGATAAAGTGCAATCTACTCACTAGTAGATTTTTATAATCATAATAAGTTACGATGCTCCTGTTCTCACTGAAAAACTGAAAATAACTATTAAAAAATTATAATTGCATTACTAGGAATAAAAAGGCACCTCATAGCTATCGTACCATACCTGTGCTACTTAAAAGGCAGCAGTGCCATGGAGATCTTACTTGTGCCACATGAAAGACAATAGTGCCATAGCTAACTTACTATATTTGTACCACATACAAGGCAGCGATGCAACAGTTATCTTACCTGTACCACATCAAAAGTATTGCCATAGCTATCTTACCTGTACCACATCAAATGCAGTGTTGCCATAGCTATCTTACCTGTACCACATCCAATGCAAGTTATCATAACTACCTAACCTGTACCACATCAAATGCAATTCTGCCATATACACCTACCATCCGACTTATGACCTGCTCGACATACGACCACTCGACTTACAACAGTGTTTTGTATGCCAAATTTCTGGGAAATAAGCAACTGTTTGTGTTGTACACAGTGTTTATCCTAAACCTTACAGTATAAAATACAGTACTAACAGCATAAAAAGTAAAGTAAAAAATGAAATACCAAAATAAAACAATAAAATAAAGTCATTACAAAAATGTGATGTTGATATCGACTTATGTCCATTTTGACTTACAACCGGTTGGTTGGAACCAAGCTCAGTCGTAAGTTGGATGGTACCTGTATATCTTACCTGTACCACATCAAATGCAATATTGTCATAGCTAGCTTACCTGTACCACATCAAATGCAATATTGTCATAGCTAGCTTACCTGTACCACATCAAATGCAACATTGCCGTAGCTATCTAACCTGTACTACATAAACTGCAATATAGCTATCTAGCCTGCACCCTATCAAATACAATTCCGCAATCGCTATCTTACCTGTACCACGTAAAAGGCAGAAATGCCATAGGCATCTTACCTGTACCACATAAAAGGAAGAGGTGCTGTAGCTAAGTGCCATAAGGCATGGGCATCAAGTGCCCAGAAGAGGGGTGGGAAATCTCCAAGTTCGAGCAGCATTGATGCCATGGCCCCTATCACTGTGTAGACACACCAGCGAACATATGGTCTTGTCTTCAGTCTCGGAACAGCCCAGGCAATCCATCCAAAACCATTCAAGATACCTGCAAATATCAGCCATTTTTTTTTATTTATACTTATGCCTAATTAACTAAGGATTAGTCATATACATAAAAATAGAAATAACATCTTGTAGGAGTGAGGAAGAGCCAGTTGTGAGTGTGGGGGAAGTTCGTGAGGCAGTAGGTAAAATGAAAAGGGGTAAGGCAGCCGGGATTGATGGGATAAAGATAGAAATGTTAAAAGCAGGTGGGGATATAGTTTTGGAGTGGTTGGTGCAATTATTTAATAAATGTATGGAAGAGGGTAAGGTACCTAGGGATTGGCAGAGAGCATGCATAGTTCCTTTGTATAAGGCAAAGGGGACAAAAGAGAGTGCAAAAATTATAAGGGGATAAGTAGTAGGTTGGTAGACAGCAACCACCCAGGGAGGTACTACCGTCCTGCCAAGTGAGTGTAAAACGAAGCCTGTGATTGTTTTACATGATGGTAGGATTGCTGATGTCTTTTGTCTGTCTCATAAATATGCAAGATTACAGGCATGTCTTGCTACTTCTACTTACACTTAGGTCACACTACACATACATGTACACATTTATTTATACACACTCATCTGAGTTTTCTTTGATTTTATCTTAATAGTTCTTGGTCTTATTAATTTTCCTTTTATATCCATGGGGAAGTGGAATAAGAATCTTTCCTCCGTAAGCCATGCGTGTTGTAAAAGTCAACTAAGATGCCGGGAACAATGGGCTAGTAACCCCTTTTCCTGTAAAGATTACTAAAAAGAATAAAAGAAGAAAATTGTCAAAGTGGGAAGTCTGAATGTGCGTGGAGTTGTGCAGATGATAAAAAAGAGATGATTGTGGATGTTATAATGAGAAGAAACTGGATGTCCTGGCATTAAGGAAACAAAGCTGAAGGGGTGGGTAAGTTCAGTGGAGAAGGAATAAATAATTAGTCAGGGTTTCAAATAGAGTTAGAGCTAAATAATAGTAGCAATAAGTTAAGGAAAGCTTAAGGAGGAAAAGAGGATTGATAAAGTATTAATTCAAGGATTATTGGAGTAAAATAAAGATTGGATGAAAAGGGGATTAAATAAGCGTTGTTACACTGAAGAAGAGAAAGTAAAGTGAGAGAAGAGAGATTTTGGGAAAAGTTGAGTGACTTGCAGGGATTTTGTGAATCAAGTTAGAGAGTAATGAAGGCATTGGGAATTAATGCTAAATGGTAAAAATTAGGAGGGAGTATAGAAATTTTTAGAGGTGCCTAAATGTAAATGGGACCATTAATAGTTCAATGTATATCATGAATTTAGAAATAATAATACATTTATGAAAAAATGATAAATAAATATACAAGTATGAGAGATGCCTATATAAAGTAATATTAGATAATATGGTGATAAAACATATGATTACTATCCAGATTTACATGTTAAGAGAGGCAACTGATATACGAATATTAATTAGTTATAGTACAGTAGAGTAAGAGGTAGATGGAAAAAGAAGGTGCAACAACAAGTAAGAGGGAAGTGAAAGTGTATAATACTAGGGGAGGAAGTAAATTCTGGTAGATATAACGCTATTTTGGGAGAAAGGTGGGCTAGTGCAAATGAAGTAGTGGGGGGGTTTAAGAGGGTTGAATATTTTAAAATGCATATTAGAATGTGGGGAAGAAGTTGTTTTATAGGGTTGGGGGCAGGAGAAAAAGATGATTGATGGAAATGTAAAGTAAAGTGTGAAAAAGAGAAAAAGGTAGTTTAGAGAGGTTTTTACAAAGCCGAATGTATAACGAAGTTAGCCCATTATGGAGAGTAAAAGAAAGGTAAAGAGAGTGTGAGAGAGTCAAAAGGAAAGCAGATGATAGAGTGGGAGAGGCACTGTCAAGAATTTTAATGAAAATAAAAAAATTTTGGATAGTGAAAAACTAGTTAAGAAAGCTAGGAAAATATGGATTAATCAGTTAAAAACAAAGTTGGTGGAATAGTACATGGAGATGGAGGTATTGGGTAGATGGCGAAATATTTTGAGGAACTTTTTAAATGTTAAGGAAAAAAGGGAGGCAGTAATTTCATGCACTAGTCAGGGAGGTATACCATCTTTTAGGAGTGAAGAAGAGCAGAATGTAAGTGTGGGGGAGGTACGTGAGGCATTACGTAAAATGAAAGGGGGTAAAGCAGCTGGAACTGATGGGATCATGACAGAAATGTTAAAAGCAGGGGGGGATATAGTGTTGGAGTGGTTGGTACTTTTGTTTAATAAATGTATGAAAGAGGGGAAGGTACCTAGGGATTGGCAGAGAGCATGTATAGTCCCTTTATATAAAGGGAAAGGGGACAAAAGAGACTGTAAAAATTATAGAGGAATAAGCTTACTGAGTATACCAGGAAAAGTGTACGGTAGGGTTATAATTGAAAGAATTAGAGGTAAGACAGAATGTAGGATTGCGGATGAGCAAGGAGGTTTTAGAGTGGGTAGGGGATGTGTAGATCAGGTGTTTACATTGAAGCATATATGTGAACAGTATTAGATAAAGATAGGGAAGTTTTTATTGCATTTATGGATTTAGAAAAGGCATATGATAGAGTGGATAGAGGAGCAATGTGGCAGATTTGCAAGTATATGGAATAGGTGGTAAGTTATTAAATGCTGTAAAGAGTTTTTATGAGGTAGTGAGGCTCAGGTTAGGGTGTGTAGAAGAGAGGGAGACTACTTCCCGGTAAAAGTAGGTCTTAGACAGGGATGTGTAAATGTCACCATGGTTGTTTAATATATTTATAGATGGGGTTGTAAAGGAAGTAAATGCTAGGGTGTTGGGAGAGGGGTGGGATTAAATTATGGGGAATCAAATTCAAAATGGGAATTGACACAGTTACTTTTTGCTGATGATACTGTGCTTATGGGAGATTCTAAAGAAAAATTGCAAAGGTTAGTGGATGAGTTTGGGAATGTGTGTAAAGGTAGAAAGTTGAAAGTGAACATAAGAAAAGAGTAAGGTGATGAGGGTGTCAAATGATTTAGATAAAGAAAAATGGATATCAAATTGGGGAGGAGAGTATGAAGAAGTGAATGTTTTCAGATACTTGGGAGTTGACGTGTCGGCGGATGGATTTATGAAGGATGAGGTTAATCATAGAATTGATGAGGGAAAAAGGTGAGTGGTGCGTTGAGGTATATGTGGAGTCAAAAAACGTTATCTATGGAGGCAAAGAAGGGAATGTATGAAAGTATAGTAAGTACCAACACTCTTATATGGGTGTGAAGCTTGGGTGGTAAATGCAGCAGCGAGGAGACGGTTGGAGGCAACGGGATGTCCTGTTTAAGGGCAATGTGTGGTGTAAATATTATGCAGAAAATTCGGAGTGTGGAAATTAGGAGAAGGTGTGGAGTTAATAAAAGTATTAGTCAGAGGGCAGAAGAGGGTTGTTGAGGTGGTTTGGTCATTTAGAGAGAATGGATCACAGTAGAATGACATGGAAAGCATATAAATCTATAGGGGAAGGAAGGCGGGGTAGGGTCGTCCTCGAAAGGGTTGGAGAGAGGGGTAAAGGAGGTTTTGTGGTAAGGGGCTTGGACTTCCAGCAAGCGTGCGTGAGCGTGTTAGATAGGAGTGAATGGAGACGAATGGTACTTGGGACCTGACGATCTGTTGGAGTGTGAGCAGGGTAATATTTAGTGAAGGGATTCAGGAAACCGGTTATTTTCATATAGTCGGACTTGAGTCCTGGAAATGGGAAGTACAGTGCCTGCACTTTGAAGGAGGGGTTTGGGATATTGGCAGTTTGGAGGGATATGTTGTGTATCTTTATATGTTTATGCTTCTAGACTGTTGTTATTCTGAGCACCTCTGCAAAAAACAGTGATAATGTGCGAGTGTGGTGAAAGTGTTTGAATGATGATGAAAGTATTTTCTTTTTGGGGATTTTCTTTCTTTTTTGGGTCACCCTGCCTCGGTGGGAGACGGCCGACTTGTTGAAAAAAAAAAAAAAAAAAAAAAAAAGTCTGTTAAGTATACCTGGTAAAGTGTATGGTAGAGTTATTATTGAAAGAATTAAGAGTAAGACGGAGAAATAGATAGCAGATGAACAAGGAGGCTTTAGGAAAAAGGTAGGGGGTGTGTGGACCAGGTGTTTACAGTGAAACATATAAGTGAACAGTATTTAGATAAGGCTAAAGAGGTTTTTGTGGCATTTATGGATTTGGAAAAGGCGTATGACAGGGTGGATAGGGGGGCAATGTGGCAGATGTTGCAGGTGTATGGTGTAGGAGGTAGGTTACTGAAAGCAGTGAAGAGTTTTTTACGAGGATAGTGAGGCTCAAGTTAGAGTATGTATGAAAGAGGGAGATTATTTCCCAGTAAAAGTAGGCCTTAGACAAGGATGTGTGATGTCACTGTGGTTGTTTAATATAATTATAGATGGGGTTGTAAGAGAAGTAAATGCGAGGGTCTTGGCAAGAGGCGTGGAGTTAAAAGATAAAGAATCACACATAAAGTGGGAGTTTTTCACAGTTGCTCTTTGCTGATGACACTGTGCTCTTGGGAGATTCTGAAGAGAAGTTGCAGAGGTTGGTGGATGAATTTGGTAGGGTATGCAAAAGAAGAAAATTAAAAGTGAATACAGAAAAGAGTAAGGTTATGAGGATAACAAAAAGATTAGGTGATGAAAGATTGGATATCAGATTGGAGGGAGAGAGTATGGAGGAGGTGAATGTATTCAGATATTTGGGAGTGGACGTGTCAGCGGATGGGTCTATGAAAGATGAGATGAATCATCAACCCTGAAAGGGTTAAAGGACTAATGGGGAAAAAGGGGTGGCCAGTTATGGCAATTGTGTTGGATAAAGATGAGAGTGTTTTGCCATGATTATAACAATAATGAACAGCTATGTAACCAGAAGACATTGGCAATTGTTTACAAATCAAAGACCCAGCGGATTTTGTCCCATACCTCTAAAGTCCGTTAAACTGAGGATGTACTAGTTACAAGTTAAACTTCTTTGCAAAAAGAATCCAAACAAGATACCCTGGTTCCAACAACTCTAGAAGCACAGAGCTTGACAGTGTTGAACTTACCTACAGTAACATTAACCACCATGTTGTAGCCATAATCAAATCTTCCTTTAGTTAGGTACCAGACATGGTAAGTGAAAAACAACACTCCCATTACAGCTGCTGCCTCTTTCAGAAACTGTTGCTGATGGCCTGACATCCTGTTGAAAAAGCAATTAATATATAACTTATAAGGAATAAAATATCAAACATATTAACCTAGTTCCTACAAACATCCAAAACACTGGGTAATATCTAAATGCATACAATAAAACAGTATCCACTCAGCAGAGGCAAGACAGACACTGAGACAATGATCTCAGCAAACATCTTTGAGCCAACACAACAAGAGTCCTTTGTAAAAAGAAGCCCAACTTGTTTGCTACCCATCCTTGGGTGTCCTTTCCCTCATACACATACTGAACTTAGGCAACAACCATTCCAGCATTTTACCCACACCTGCTTTCAATATTTCAGTCTTAATCTCATCCACCTCTTCTATTACTTTTACTTTCAACCTCCTTACTGCTGTATCTCTTCCTTTATTTGCCCTCCTGGCTCCTCACTCATTGCACTAAATCCTATTCCACCTCATCCCAATCATAAAATTCCATGTTCCATTTTATCATTAACATTAATGAAAAACATTCTTGCCATCTCTCTAATACCTTTACAGCCTTGTTCAGCACTGCTCAACTTTTACCATCTTCTTAACACTTTTTTCGGTTCAGGTCACTTTTTTCATACCTAATAACAAGGCCAAAAAGGGAGTAGAGGACCATGGAAAATGCACAGAAGTAGTCCAAGCGCTCAGTCCATGGAGTATCTCTGGCATGGAACACAACTGACCACACCCAGGCATTGATGCAAATCTGCAATAGAAGTCAGGTGTACTGGTAATCTATAAAAAATAATCAAAAAAGCATTTAAAAATGAGGTAAGCAAGACTATTATTCTGTTAGTTTAGTTCTCACAACTGAAGAACTGATATAGGAAATTTTATTTCTAACTAACTTATAGCTTGAAAGCTGAAGATAAATATATATTTCAATTATGTAAAAGAAGAAACAAAGCTAATATTATAGTGTGAAAAAAAAAGAAAACTGAATATTATTACGTTTTCAAAAATAAATTCAACTTGTGGTGATGCATCTATAGAAAAAATAATTGCAATTAGGCATCTGCATGGGAACTAAAGAGTCAAAATATGTAAATCTTGCAAGTAAATATTCTGCAAGACAAAGACAATATATGGTACAGTGCAAACAAAGTGAAATACCAGTGAGGGGAATTTGCAAAGACACAGGAAATATTTAGGTGAAAAATGGATAAATTTATACAGATTTTAGATTTAACATTTTACTGAGTGTAACAGCTGATATTAGATAGCTGTTGGAAATTAAAATGAATATACAATACAGTAGTAATAGTAGTAGTAATGATATTTTTAGAACACTTTGACCCTTCAGGTCACTCAGTGCTCACAGCAATAAAAAATTATATATAAAACACACCAAAAACAGATAAAACAACAATAAAAGCTATGAATATAAAATACTCATCAAATAAATATAGTCATATACTAGGTTAAAATTATAATAAATATAAAATGTACATACAAGAGCATGCAGGAACCACATCTTGAAGAGTGGAGCATTGGAAGGCACAGTGTGACAGAACTGGCTAAGATTAACAGCATGAGCCAGCAGGTTGAACACAGAAAAGAGAACAGCAGCAGGCTCTTGCATGCCCCACAACCTTGCGAATGGCCACTGAAAATAATTATGCACAGTGATTAGCGTACATTTCAGCCTATAATTTTATTTTCTCTCATTTCTCAAATTATTAATCACTTTCTATGTGATATAGACTGCATTTCTATTATAATTATTATTATTATTCTTTCAACAAACTGGCCATATCCCACCAAAGCAGGGTGGCCCAAAAAGAAAAACATAACTTTCTCTTTTAAACTTTAGCAACATATACAGTAGAAGGGGTTACTAGCCCCTTGCTCCCAGCATTTTAGTCACCTCTTATGACACACATGGCTTACGCAGAAAGAATTCTATTCCCCTTCCCATGGAGATATTATTATTATTATTATTATTATTGTTTATCATATCAGACATTTCTCACCAAGGCAGAGTAATCCAAAGAAGGAAACACATTCACCATCTAAACTGTTGTATCTGGACACCTCTGCAAAGACAGTGATTATGTGTGAATGATGGTGAAAGTGTCTCTTTCTTTTTTTGGGTCACTCTGCCTCAGTGGGAGATGGCTAACGTGTTGAAAGAAGAAAGAAGGAACACTGCTGAAGGCCTACTGGACCATGCTAAGCAGGTCCAAGTCACATCCACTCATTTATTCATCTAATCTATTTTTAAAGTTACCCAATGTTTCTGCTTGGATAACACTATTTTAAAGTTTGTTCCACTCATCCACAACTCTAATACCAAACCAATGCTTTCCTAAATCCTTTCTAAATCTAAATTTTTCCAACTTGAACCCACTGCTGCAAGTCTTGTCTTAGTTAGATATTTTGAGGATGCTATTAATATCCCCTTTATTTTTTCCTGTCTTCCATTTATACACCTTGATCATATCCCCCTAATTCTATGCCTTTCTGATAATAATAATAATAATAATAATAATAATAATAATAATAATAATAATAATAATAATAATAATAATAATAATAATAATAATAATGTAAAAATATATTATGGTGACCAAGCAATATATTATATGGGGTACATTTTACTAGTGTACTTAGAAAATTCATTTATTTGATGGTGGGATAATGGTACAGGTACAATGTATTAGCATATTATATATAAAAAAATAAATAATCGTATTTACTGAATTTGGGTCACAATAATATGGCTGAAACAAATCACAAGCCTAAAAATCAAATCAAAACTGGACATTTCAGGACACCTAGTTACTATTTACAATTTGTGGACTTTTAAACAATAAAACTATAATAAAAAAAAATCAGTTACTAGTACTGTATTCTAGATTTAGCTAAAGCTATTTGAAGCTTGCAATTTTAATGTCTGTATCATGCCATAAATATGAAAGTAATAGTAGTTTTTAAGTGGCAAGACATTAGATATATACATATATAAGACTTAATAGTTTATGGCAAATCTTCTATGAATATCAGAAACAAATTCTACCTTGCCAAAAAACTGTGGAATATCCATTCCTCTGTCAATGAATATTTGTGTTGTCCGCCACATGCAAAAATATTTGCATTCGTCATCACAAGTCCACTGAAGAATCTTCTCACTAAAGCTCTGAAAGGACTCGTATGCAGCAATTCCCATTTCTGAAAAACGTTTTGCCTTAGAACAAAATCTAAACAAAATTCTCACCTACACAGTATCAGCTAATGAAAATATGTGCAAAATTCAGAGGTACATACTCTTCTGTCATGATCTGGTCATGGACTGGGTTGTGGGGGCATTGACCCCTGGAACACCCTGCAGGTATACCATTCAAAAACTATATAGATACAACATCAACTTTGTCCTGTAAACTTTTTATAACTTTCTGAGTCTTGGAAAGCCTACAGTGACACAGAGTACTATTACCATACGGTCAATAATCTATGCCCTGGGTGTTCTTATTTGTTAATTAGTAAATTCTAAGTTTTCTGTAAGCTTGCCATGAATTGCAAATGTTTGAAGGAGAAAAATATTTAATATTTTAATTCTCGTTTACAATAAAAACTATATATGCTTCAATTATGTCCACTGTACGTGCAAAAAAATATAATAGTAAGTGCTCTTGACCACTACATCTTTCTTCCTAAATTAGAGCATTATTGGCTCATAGGTCATACATTCCCCTTTAATAAATCTTACCTCAGTAACAGATACCAATATGTGACCATAAATAGTATTCCCTCACCAATTCTAATCATAAACACTGGTGTGCTACAAGGGATCATTTTCAGCTCTCTACTATTCCTGCTTTAGCAATGGCCTGCCATCGAGCTGTCAGCTAACAACTTAAACTAATGTTATTTCCAGATGACCACATTTTCCAACTGAAACCCAGATCCAGCTGTATATTATAGCAAACTAAAGCTATTGTTTTGTTTGTTGCAATTACATAGATTGCAACAAATAGTTCACTCAACAAAGGAAAGACCTACTACAAAATATTTAGAAATAAAACAATTCAAAACACAATTACCAAGAAAAATGAATGAAGATAAATTTCCGGGCCTATTCTATATGACAAATTTATATCCAACACGCATAAAAAAAAAGTTAAAAGGAACAGCAGCCATTGTTTCAGTTCTGCTACTGTGCCCACTATGCTATGGCACTTGCATAATGCAACACTAACCTATTTACATCTCATTCATGATGTACAAATTTTGGGATCTAAAACAGCAAACTATATACAGTGTTTAAAACCATGAGTAAAACAAGAAACAAACAGCCATGAGAGTTATCTTTTCCTCTGGATTTAGGCAGTACTGTACCACAGCCTCGTACACACAATTAAATCTACTTAACAAGCAACCCATTTATACATGTACTAGTCATAAAAAGCAAACCTATCATCAAAATTTTTCTTAGGAGCTGTCATTTTTTTTTTTATACTTTGGCCATCTCCTATCATCATTCAATCACCGTCATGCTAGAAGTGTGCTGCCATGACAGTTTTGATGATCCTACAAAATGCAACATTCCCATCCTTCCTGTAACACCAAAACACAAGAAACGAGCAGGTCTTTAATATCCCACAAGTATGACCGAACCATATTAAAAATGTTTATTTTTTTATGTGCAAACATGATTTATGTTATATAAAACTTTGCCCATTATTAATTATGAGAGCAAATACAGAGTAGGAATTAAAATAAGAAAAAACTGAAAATAAATATATTGGAAAAGTCAAATGCTTAAAAAACACAGCTGAAAGATAAAACTTACTTGAGGTGCAATTGTTGAAATGGCAAACATGGTAGCAGCCTGTGTACTCATTAGAATGATCTCCTCTTGAGGCTTGTGTCACTCCTATGACTAATGATAAGCCCCAGAAAATTAGACTACACATTCTCACAGCCTGTAAAATAACGAGTATAAACCAGAATTTAAATACAAGTCAAATATTCACATACATTTACTAAATGGGTAAGAAACTTTTTTTAGATGTGAGTACATAACATACAGTCTTTTCTACAATGATACTGAGAGAAAACAGATGCTATGAGCAAGTGAAAAGTATACTGGTTAGATTTAACCAAGGATAGCCCATTAAAGTTAAATAAGACTCATTTCCATTAGGGTACAGCAACATGTCCCTAACGTGAAGAGAACTCCACGTCCTTGTGCCAAGAGAATATACAGAATAATCACTCCTGGGTCCTCTGGACCATAGAGTATATCTGCAGTATACCTGGAGAGGGTTTCGGGAGTCAAGGCCTCTGTGGCCTGGTCTGTGACCAAACCTCAAGGTGGATCAGGGCCTGACCAACCAGGCTGCTACTGCTGGCCACACGCAAACTGACGTACAAACCACAGCCTGGCACAGAGTGGAGAATGGCATACTGGGAAAGTCCAAGTAGATAGTGAACTGAAACCTATCTAAGCAAATACTACTGAGTTTAGGAGCTAGACCATTTTTTATATTACTGTAGTAAATTCTCAGATATTAAGTGGGTTATGCAATGGGGACAATGGACTAGCCTAACATGGGTTTGAGTCCCACTCGTTCTTTGATTTGGGGCCAATTATACTTAGGGTCTATGGGGAGAAAGGTCTTTTTTCTTTTATTCTGGTAACTCAAAAAATAAACAGAACCTAACATAACCTAGAATTAACCTCTAAGTCTAGGTTTGGTTAGGTTGGGTTCTTTTATTTATTTATTTATTTTTGGCCTACAAATGAATTGTTCTCTCCATAAGCACAAAACATAACTGTTTCCATTGCATAAGCCGGCTGATATTCAAGAATTGACACATTAGGTTATAAACTTTAAATCTAGCATAATGACGAACGTGTAACCAATATTAGTTATTGTACTGGGGCACCTTGGGCACCCTCAGGCAGGGCACGAGGAGACCCCGACCCCACACCACACCGCATCTCAGACACATTAAGGCCACAATTCCTATGGTCAGCATTAATGAAGATGTCATCTTATGACACACCGTTGGCAGGAAATTATCCACCAACAAATAAACCAACAAAAGCCACTGACTGAGCCACCCCGGGTTACCCATCTGAATAACGTCATCTCCAGCTCCCCTCACTACTCTACCTCATATAATGCTATTATATGATAAAATAGCTTTCATAATAATTCACTAAAATACAATTTTAATGATTATTTTACATTTATACAACAGTGGAAATACATAATACTGCTACAAGCATACACTGATTTAACTTAAGAGTTATTTAAGAACTTATATTACAGCAAAATTTGCTAAATCACAATTTTTTTTTTATGCTCATGTTATATTTCATTAGAAATAGGCCAAATATAACATATATACATAAATAAAAATGAAACTAACTTACCATTGTTATTGTTGGGTTGTAGGGTTGTGGCGGCCTCAGGGTCACTGAACCCTCCTGTCGGGGCCAGGAATGATGTCACTATCTACCCTCATGGTTTCCTTAACCCTGAGTCAGTCAGTCAATACTTGCCTATTTGTGATTGCAGGAGTCGATTCACAGCTCTGGCCCCGCCTCTTAGCTGGTCGCTATTAGGTCCACTCTCTTCCTCCTCCATAAGAACACTGCAGCAGGCCTACTGGCCCATGCGAGGCACGTCCAAGTCTTCTACCGGCTTGAGCCAATGTCCGAACCTAGTCAGGTCAGATCACATTCACTTAAGGAAGGAGCAAGGCAGCTGACCTAGTAGCACAAGCTAGTCAGGTCCAACTCACACCCACCCGCATCCACTGATTCATTTATCTAACCTGTCTTTAAAACTACACAACGTCTTAGCCTCTATAACTGTACTTGGGAGTTTGTTCCACTCATCCACAACGCTATTACCAAACCAGTGCTTTCCTATATCCTTCCTGAATCTGAATTTTTCCAGCTTAAAGCCATTGCTGCGAGTCCTGCCTAGGCTAGATATTTTTAGCACGCTATTTACATCCCCTTTATTTATTCCTGTCTTCCATTTATATACCTCAATCATATCCCCCCTAATTCTACGCCTTTCTAGAGAGTGCAGATTCAGGGACCTCAGTCTATCCTCACGGGAAAGATTTCTGTTACATGGGATCAACTTTGTCATCCTCCTTTGTACGTTTTCCAGAGTATTTATTTCCATTCTGTAATACGGTGACCAAAACTGTGCAGCATAATCTAAATGAGGCCTAACCAAGGATATATAGAGCTGAAGAACAACCTGAGGACTCCTATTATTTAAGCTTCTCGATATGAAGCCAAGGATTCTGTTCGCTTTATTGTGAACACTTATGCATTGTTGTCTTGGTTTTAGATTACTGCTAGCCAGAACTCCCAAATCCTTTTTGCAATCCATATATTAACATCCACATTATTTAGTTTATATGGTGGCATGGTTATATATCTCTCCAATGTTTAGAACTTTGCATTTGTCTATATTAAACTGCATCTGCCACTTCTCCGCCCAATGCATCAGTCTATTCTAATCTTCCTGGAATGCTCTAATGTCCTCGTCAGAATGAATTCGACGGCCTATTTTGGTGCCATCGGCAAACTTGCTAGTGTCGCTATTTATTACCTCATCTATGTCATTTTTGTAGACTGTGAACAACAGGGGGCCCAACACTGACCCCTGTGGAACACCGCTCGTGACGCTTCCTCACTCTGATTTCTCCCCATTTATGCAAACTCTCTGCTGCCTATTTGTCAACCATTCCTCTATCCAGGAAAAAAAATTCTCCTCCTATTCCGTGTGCCTTAATTTTCCTCAATAGTCTCTGATGTGGGACTCTATCGAAAGCCTTACTGAAGTCCATATACACTATCACATTCATTACCATGATCTACCTCCTTAAATATCTTAGTGAAAAAAAAAAAATTAATAAATTCGTTTGGCAGGAACGCCCCTCTGTAAAACCATGCTGAGATTCGTTGATTAATTTATGCTTTTCAAGACGGCTACGAATTGCCTCGGCAATTATTGATTCCATAAATTTCCCCACCATGAGGTTAAGCTTATTGGTCTATAGTTTGAAGCTAAGGACCTGTCAATGCTTTGAAAATATGTATTACATTTGCCATTGCTTTATCGTATCTCTTCTTAAAGCTATGTATGGATCCTGCCTCCACTGCATCATTCTCCACGTTGTTCCACATCCTGACAACTCCATGACTGAAGAAATACCTCCTAACATCCCTAACATCATCTGAGTTTTCAACTTCCAGTTGTGACCCCTTGTTGCTGCGTCCCATCTCTGAAACATTCTGTCTCTGTCCACCTTGTTAATTCCTCTCAGTATTTTATGTCGTTATCATGTTCTCCCTGTCCTCAAGTGTCGTCAGGTTGATTTTCCTTAACCTCTCCTCGTAGGACATACATCTTAGCCCCGGGACTAGTCTTGCTGCAAACCTTTGCACTTTCTCTAGTTTCTTGACGTGCTTGATCAGGTGTGGGTTCCACTCTGGTGCTACATACTCCAATATGGTCTGACGTGCACGGTGTACCTTGTACAGTGTCTTGAACGATTCCTTATTGAGGTGTCGAAACGCTATTCCTAGGTTTGCCAGGAGCCCAAATGCTGCAGCAGGTTTTGGTTGATGTGCACCTCAGATGTGCTCGGTATGATGCTCACCCGAAGACCCTTTTTCCTTGAGTTAGGTTTGCAGTCTGAGTTATTGTTTAACATTAACAAATCTTTGTGACTTTACACTTGATTGGGTTTAAACTCCAGGAGTCAATTTTTGGACCAGGCTTGAAGCCTGTCCAGATCCCTTCGTAGTCCTACCTCATTCTCATCCACTTGAATTCTCTGCATCAGCTTCACATCGTCTGCAGTGAGTGGGTCAGTTTATTTAGGTATCAGTACGCAAAAATGCAGTTACATAAATTTAGGTGTCTACAATTAAGTCATATATAGTAAAATGTACGTAAATTACCTAGGAGGACCGGAATTGCTGTAATTATAAACCGGCCTGATGGCGCTATAATACTAGAATTAATAATAATATAATATTAGAATCAATAGCTGGACTTCCACCTTACAAACTGAGCTGTTTACTGTACTTGTTGGTCTCAAACTTGTAAAAACTATAGCCACACACAGTGTAATTGTAACTCATTCTTTCCTGAGTACTTGTTCTATATTGCCTGAGTGTAGCATGCTTGTGTATGAAGTTAGGCACAGACGTCCTCTCCCATACCTGGGGTTTACCTGTTGTTAGGTAAGACACATATG